TTAAAAGGGCTAATAGAAAAATTGGTTAATTATTATTTTTGCTTGAAATTGACAGAGTATAGATATTTCCATAATTAGAGAAGATATGTGATACCTTGATTGAATTCTACTGTTAGCCGAAAATGAAACCCTAAGCTGAACTCACACTGATCTTTCGCTATTGTTACTTTTTCATCATCGGATTATTTTATAAATGTTAATATTTTATTCTCAAAATCGGAAAATAGAAGTTTACTCATCTTACGAGAAATTGCTTTAATTTATTTTGTATTAAAGTACATACGTAGAAATTAATTTATGGTAAGAAAAATGTAACAAGTTTGAAATATCAATATATCCGGTTAAAATAATATTTTAAAAACACATATTTTAAGTAGTTTTAGAGATTGAGACACAATGACTCCACACGTCATCCCTCTTCTTCAAGTATTGTGTTTCACGGCCAACTAATGATGGTCTGTCAGCAATATATTTAATGAGATTATCGTGACACACTTTTCCTTCTTGGACAAGATCGTGGCAACAAGACTCAATGAGGGTTCCGTTTCCAAAAACAACAGCGATTATATTCAATGCACACTTAGGAGTGATTTTAACCAGACAAGTGTCCCATAATGTTTTTGCTTCAGCTTCTTCTACTGAAAATGCAGGAACAAACGCACACACCAATGCTACAACAATGAATAGCGCAGTAACATGGGAGCTTAGATTAGCCATATTTTTTTCTTATGCTTGGAATTTACCGACTTATTCTTACTGTATGAAAAGAATGTAATGAAGTATATATTTTTATTTGGTATTCTAGACAAGAAGCTATGTAAACTATTTATATGTTATTGAGTATCCAACGTAACTAAAATAAATTACAAAATAAACTTATGAAATTAATGTGAGTTTTTTTAACTTCTTGACAATTAAAAACAACGTACGTTAAAATTTATATTTTCGATCAGGTTTTTTGAAATTTAAATCCAAAAGTAATGCAAGTAGTGATATCAAGTTCAACTTACAAATTAATGATTGAATTTAAAATTATGTCAAAGTAGAAGCCAAATTATTAGATATGAAGTTCAAACTTGATATATATATAAGATTTTAAATTAAATAACTACAAGGTTCAAATATTAAGTCCTCTAAATATATTTCACTATGAGTGTTTGAAAGCCTAACTCACATTTAGTTTAATGATGTTAGTCAAATGAATAATTACATTTTGAACAATTAGTTTAATCTAAAAGATTAATAAATGGCAATTGGTAATATATTCGAAAGGTAGGGATATGGTCTAGATTCATAACTAATAATTCTGCAAAACTTCCATCAAAAACATAAGATATAATAACTATCAATGATGCAAAAATATATTTTATAAATCCCATACTAAGTAAAAATGTTTGGAAAAACTAAAAGCTAAATAAAGAGAGTCGATTTAAAACATTGAAAAAGGAAGCAATAGATTGAAATTGACATATTTATGTGGTTGAGTGGACATTATTATCAATGTTAACCTAGCCTACTTGTGGGTTTGGAGTCTAAGCAACTTTTACCATAACTATTACAAGACTCTAAAAGTAATATTTATGTCAAATACTTAAAGAATAATTGTTCAATTTACTGCATAAACGGATTCGACACACATCCTTTCGAACTTTTTCTTTAGTTTAGAATTTAACTTTTGTGTAGATTTTGAAAGAAAACAAAAAGAAGTGTTGGTTTGTTTTTGGAGGTTTTGATTTATACAATTTTGAAATAAAAGTTAAAAGAGCAAATAGAAAAATAGTTTAATTATTGTTTTTGCTTGAAATTGACAAAAAATAAATCTTTCCATAATTAGAGAAAATAGTTGATACCTTGATTGGATTCTACTGTTAGCCGAAAATCAAAACATAAACAGAACTAACAATGTTCTTTTGCTATTGTTAATTTTTCATTATCGGATTATTTTATAAATGTTAATTTTCTATTTTCAAAATAGAAAAATAGAAGTTTACTCATCTTACGAGAAATTCCTTTAATTTATTTCGTATTAAAGTACATACGTAGAAATTAATTTATGGTAACATAAATGTAACAAGTTTGAAATATCAATATATCCGATTAAAACAATATTTTAAAAACACATATTTTAAGCAGTTTTAGAGATTGAGACACAATCACTCCACACGTCATCCCTCTTCTTCAAGTATTGTGTTTCACGGCCAACTAATGATGGTCTGTCAGCAATATATTTAATGAGATTATCGTGACACACTTTTCCTTCTTGGACAAGATCGTGGCAACAAGACTCAATGAGGGTTCCGTTTCCAAAAACAACAGCGATTATATTCAATGCACACTTAGGAGTGATTTTAACCAGACAAGTGTCCCATAATGTTTTTGCTTCAGCTTCCTCTACTGAAAATGCAGGAACAAACGCACAAACCAATGCTACAACAATGAATAGCGCAGTAACATGGGAGCTTAGATTAGCCATATTTTTTTCTTATGCTTGGAATTTACCGATTTATTCTTACTGTATGAAAAGAATGTAATGAAGTATGTATTTTTATTTGGTATTCTAGACAAGAAGCTATGTAGACTATTTATAGGTTATTGAGTATCCAACGTAACTAAAATAAATTAGAAAATTAACTTAAGAAATTAATGTGAGTTTTTTAACTTCTTGACAAATTAATAAACAACGTACGCTAAAATTAATCTTTCGATCAATTTTTTTGAAATTTAAATCCAAAATTTATGCAAGTATTGATAACAAGTTCAACTTAAAAAATTAATGATTAAATCTAAAATTATGTCAAAGTAGAAGCTAAATTATTGGATATGAAGTTCAAACTTTACATATATAAGATTTTTAAAAAAATAACTACAAGGTTCAAATATTAAGTCCTCTAAATATATTTCATTATGAGTGTTTAAAACCCTTACTCACATTTTGTTTAATGATGTTAGTCAAATTAAAAATCATATTTTGAACAATTTGTTTAATCCTAAAGACTAATAAATGGCACTTGAGTAATATATTCAAAAGGTAAGGATATGGTCTAGATCCATAACTAATAATTATGCAAAACTTTCGACCAAAAACATAAGATATGATATCTATCAATGGACGAAAAAATATATTTCATGGATCCCATATTAAGCAAAAATGTTTGGAAAAGCTAAACGCTAAATAAAGAAAGTCGATTCAAAACATTGAAAAAGGAAGCAATAGATTGAACTTGACATAGTTATGTGGTTGAGTGGACATTATTATCAATGTTACCCTAGCCTACTCGTGGGTTTGGAGTCTAAGCAACTTTTACCATAACTATTACAAGACTCTAAAAGTAATATTTATGTCCAATACTTAAAGAATAATTATTCAATTTACTACACAAACGGATTCGACACACACCCTTTCGAACTTTTTCTTTAGTTTAGAATTTAAGTTTTGTGTAGATTTTGAACGAAAAAAAAAGTGTTGGTTTGTTTTTGGAGGTTTTGATTTATAGAATTTTGAAATAAAAGTTAAAAGAGCAAATAGAAAAAATTTTTAATTATTATTTTTGCTTGAAATTGACAAAAAGTAAATCTTTCCATAATTAGAGAAAATAGTTGATACCTTGATTGGATTCTACTGTTAGCCGAAAATCAAAACATAAACAGAACTAACAATGTTCTTTTGCTATTGTTAATTTTTCATTATTGGATTATTTTATAAATGTTAATTTTCTATTTTCAAAATCGAAAAATAGAAGTTACTCATCTTACGAGAAATTGCTTTAATTTATTTCGTATTAGAGTACATACGTAGAAATTAATTTATGGTAACAAAAATGCAACAAGTTTGAAATATCAATATATCCGATTAAAATAATATTTAAAAACACATATTTTAAACAGTTTTAGAGATTGAGACACAGTGACTCTACACGTCATCCCTCTTCTTCAAGTATTGTGTTTCACGGCCAATTAATGATGGTCTGTCAGCAATATATTTAATGAGATTATCGTGACACACTTTTCCTTCTTGGACAAGATCGTGGAAACAAGACTCAATGAGGGTTCCGTTTCCAAAAACAACAGCGATTATATTCAATGCACACTTAGGAGTGATTTTAACCAGACAAGTGTCCCATAATGTTTTTGCTTCAGCTTCTTCTACTGAATATGTAACGCCCGTGTTCCGAAAAATAATAGAAAAGAATGAATGTTTATGTCGTGAATTGAACTAGAGTCGGTTCAATTTCAACTAGTTTACTAAAAAGGTCGATTTATTAATTACACAAAAGTGGTGGTTCAATTAATTCCCGGTTTAGTAATATCCTGGTTTAATCGAATTTTACCAGCGAACCCTAATTTTCTCTATAACACACACTAGCCTCCTCTTTTTCTCCTGTGTCATGACCTGCAAAGAAAAAGAGAGAAAGAGAGCTTTTTAGAGTGAGAAAGAGGGAGAGGTTGAAGTTTGGTGAAAGGAGAAGAGAGGCAGACAGGACACGTTTTGGTAGAACAGAGTTTCGTCATATCAATTCGTTTCCAAAGGTGACGAAATTTTCAGAGATGTAGGTAAGACTTATATCTAGTTATATCCGAGTACGGATATTGATTCGAGTCAATATTCAAAGAGTTATCCCTGTTTTCGTGAGCTCTTCTATTTCAGACGCGTTTTGGACCAGTTCGTGTTTAAAGAGAGATTGCGAGCGAACCCTTTATCTGATCGTTACGAAATTGTTTGGGTAGCTTCAGGACACTTAGGGGAAGCTGTTAAACGTTGGGATTAGAAATTGGACGGTTAGATCTCGTTTCGTGATCCAATATTTCAGGCTGACAATTCTGTGATTTTTCCAGAATTTTATAGTTTAGTTTAATTGATGTTTTGATTGTTGTGGTTGCCTATTAGGGTGATTTGAGATACTGTTGACGTGAGAAAGAAGTCAACTGTGGTTTTATGGTGTTGTTCTTGTGCAAAAATCATCCCTAAGCTGAGGTGAGTGCGTGACCATGAGGTTATCTAAGCGATTGGGATTATGTGTTTGTTTGTTGTGATGTGTAGGTTGGATTTTTGATGGGTCCAGAATTGAAATCCATGAGATGGTTGTGTTATTGGATGATTGTCATTGGTTTCGTTTGTTTCCATGAATTATGTGTTGATTTGTGATCTTAGTTGCTTGTGTATATAGCTCGTAGATGGGAGGATCGCCTCACTAAGTATTTATTTAAATACTTATGCATCTCTTTTTTTGGTGCATGTAAAGATAAAGTGTGATTGTGGAATCATGGTGAGGAGAGGAGGATGATCTAGGGTCTCGTTGGTATTAGTTTAATATTTATAGTATGATGGATTTTGGATTAGAAATTGGTGGATAAGTTATCGGTTTATTTTGGTTAAATTATAATAATTTGAACTTGGATTTTTGATTTGAATTGTGTTGGTTTTGGCATGATTTTTAATTGGAGAAAATTAATTAATATTTATGGGCATATTAGTTAATTAATTAATTAAAAAAAAATGGGTCGGGTTGTTTCAGAAAATGCAGGAACAAACGCACACACCAATTCTACAACAATGAATAGCGCAGTAACATGGGAGCTTAGATTAGCCATATTTTTTCTTGGAATTTACCGACTTATTCTTACTATATGAAAAGAATGAAATGAAGTATGTATTTTTATTTGGTATTCTAGACAAGAAGCTACGTAAACTATTTATAGGTTATTGATTATCCAACGTAACTAAAATAAACTATAAAATTAACTTAAGAAATTAATGTGAGTTTTTTAACTTCTTGACAAATTAATAAACAACGTACGTTAAAATTAATCTTTTCGATCAGCTTTTTTGAAATTTAAATCCAAAATTTATGCAAGTAGTGATATCAAGTTCACCTTATAAGATTAATGATTAAATCTAAAATTAGTCAAAGTAGAAGCTAAATTATTGGATATGAAGTTCAAACTTTACATATATAAGATTTTAAATAAAATAACTACGAGGTTCAAATATTAAGTCCTCTAAATATATTTCATTATGAGTGTCTAAAAGCCTTACTCACATTTTGTTTAATGATGTTAGTCAAATGAAAAATCATATTTTGAACAATTGGTTTAATCCTAAAGACTAATAAACGGCACTTGAGTAATATATTCGAAAGCTAGGGATATGGTCTAGATCTTTAACTAATAATTATGCAAAACTTTCCACCAAAAACTTAAGATATGATAGCTATCAATGGACGGAAAAAAATATTTCACGGATCCCATACTAAGTAAAAATGAAAGGAAAAACTAAAAGCTAAATAAAGAAAGTCGATTCAAAACATTGAAAAAGGAAGCAATAGATTGAACTTGACATAGTTAAGTGGTTGAGTGGACATTTTTATCAATGTTACTAAACCTAGCCTACTTTTGGGTTTGGAGTGTAAGAAACTTTTACCATAACTATTACATGACTCTAAAAGTAATATTTATGTCAAATTCGTAAAGAGAAATGATTGAATTTACTACATAAAGGGATTTCACACACCCTTTCGAACTATCTCTTTAGTTTAGAATTTAAGTTTTGTGTAGATTTTGAATGAAAAAAAAAGTGTTGGTTTGTTTTAGGAGGTTTTGATTTATGGAATTTTGAAATAAAAGTTAAAAGAGAAAATAGAAAAATTGTTTAATTATTATTTTTGTTTGAAATTGACAAAAAATAAATCTTTCCATAATTAAAGAAAATAGTTGATACCTTGATTGGATTCTACTGTTAGCCGAAAATGGAAACATAAACAGAACTAACAATGTTCTTTTGCTATTGTTACTTTTTCATTATCGGATTATTTTATAAATGTTAATTTTCTATTTTCAAAATCGAAAAATAGGAGTTTACTCATCTTAGGAGAAATTGCTTTAGTTTATTTTGTGTTAAAGAACATACGTAGAAATTAATTTATGGTAACAAAAATGTTACAAGTTTGAAATATCAATATATTCGATCAAAATAATATTTAAAAATACATATTTTAAACAGTTTTCGAGATTGAGACACAATGACTCCACACGTCATCCCTCTTCTTCAAGTATTGTGTTTCACGGCCAACTAATGATGGTCTATCAGCAATACATTTAATGAGATTATCGTGACACACTTTTCCTTCTTTGACAAGATCGTGGCAACAAGACTCAATGAGGGTTCTGTTTCCAAAAACAACAGCGATTATATTCAATGCACACTTAGGAGTGATTTAAACCAGACAAGTGTCCCATAATGTTTTTGCTTCAGCTTCTTCTACTGAAAATGCAGGAACAAATGGACACACCAATGCTACAACAATGAATAGCGCAGTAACATGGGAGCTTAGATTAGCCATATTTTTTCTTATGCTTGGAATTTGCCGACTTATTCTTACTGTATGAAAAGAATGTAATGAAGTATGTATTGTTATTTGATATTCTAGACAAGAAGCTTTGTAAACTATTTATAGGTTATTGAGTATCCAACGTAACTAAAATAAATTATAAAATTAACTTACAAAATTAATATGAGGTATTCAACTTCTTTATAAATTAATAAACAACATATGTTAAAATTTATCTTTTCGATCAGTTTTTTTGAAATTTAAATCCAAAATTAATGCAATTAGTGATATCAATTTCAACGTAAAAAATTAATGATTAAATCCAAAAATTATGATAAAGTTGAAGTCAAATTATTGGATATGAAGTTCAAACTTTACATATATAAGATTTTAAATAAAAATACTACAAGGTTCAAATATTAAGTCCTCAAAATATATTTTATTACGAGTGTTTAAAAGCCTTACTCACATTTTGTTTAATGAGTGTTTAATGATGTTGTAGTTTTTTATTGAATCCTTAAATGTCAAAATTTAATTTTAAAAATTCGATAATTCTCAAAAATACAACACATAAGTTTTGGATATATATAATTTTAACCAAAACTTAATGTTTAAATCTTGAATAATTAATTTTCTGTAATAATTTTTTTTTCTTTTAGTTATTAGGCTATTTTAAGATTTATCTAATCATATATAAATTATCATTAATTATGTTTGTTTATAAGTTAGTTACTTACTCTATACTTTGCCCCCCAAAAAAAAAATACTTAATTTACACTTAATAACATTAGAGAAATTTCAAAAGATAAATATTCATTAAATTTAAAACACCTAATGTGTAAATAGATATAACTCAGTATTTTCTTACAATTAATCCTGACTCATTCTTTTCTTTTTTAGTTTCTAAAATTTTAATGTATATTGTTAGTCTAAATACACAATGGTCTTAATTTTAATGATATCCAATATTTTAAAGTTCACATGTCTCTTCATTGTACATATATGATATGGGATGATCACTCAACATGAACTAAAATGTAAAACTAATTAAGAGGAATAACCATTTTTCCTTAAGAACAACATCACAAAATAAATACAGTAATATATAAAGATAATAAAAGTACTTTTAGAAAACACTAAATGTAATGGATGAAAATAATAATTAAGAAAAACTTATTGCTTAAATAATAATTACAAAATTTTGACACATTAAATAGAAAGATAAGAATTAAGGTTTTAATTTGAAAAAAGTTTTTTAAGATATGTATTAATTAATTTTGTTGTGCAAATGTTTATATAGAATAGGCTATATGCTATATATATTTATATAATTTTATTAGTCATTTGATTAACAAATTGTATGTTCAGTGTATGGAAACATATATATATATATATATATATATATATATATACATATGTATAAATATATTTCTAAGTGTTAGAGATCAAAAGAGATTTTAAGCGAAAAGAATTTTAAACAATTAATATTTTTGTCTTTGGAATTTAACTGTGATGGGTTCCTGGTTAAAGCCACAAGGAATCACAACTATGATGGGTCGCTGGTTAACGAAATCAAGAGAAAACATTCTCGACAAGTAGAGTGACTTAAATCTCTACACATAGATATCTATGTTTTTTACATAAAAACTTTTGTGTTTTATATATTTCTCTTACACTGGTACATTTTTCTCTTCAAATTTTCTCTAGTGTAATTGTAACAGATGCCGAGTTGAAGATTTCGATGAATTTTGAAGATTGCGCGAAAAAGATCAGAAAAGTTGCTTGCCAATTCGAAGGCAAGAAAGTCTGAAACTTTTCTTTACAATACATATATTTATTCACAATACATATTTTGTATAATGTAACATAGTATCTACGTTTTTTAAGTTTTACAATGTTGTTATTAGGAGTTAAATCATGCATCACGGATATAGATGATCAAAAAGTCTTGGTCAGTGGTGAATTTAATTTGCATAAATTGGTGAAGACTCTCAAGAAAAAAACTGGTAAAAAGATAGAAATTGTGATGAAGAATGAGAAATCTAATGATGATAAACCGGAAACAAGGTAAATTAATATTTAGTAGTTTTAATTTTTAATTTACAAAGTAAGTGGCAAGAATTTTTAACTACTTTTTTTTTTTGTTAACCATATTGTCTTAACTCTTCTTAATTTGATACTTTGAAGTATAATGGAAGTGGAGTTCGGTATACCATTTCTCTGTGAAAAATACGAGAAAAGTTTTAGAAAAGTTATTTCCAAATGGACAGGTATAATATCTATTTTATCAATTTCAGTTATATATATAATGTAATGTGTGATTTATTTTAATAAAATTTTCTTAATTATGTATGATTAGGTGTTGAAACATATGTAATGGATCTAGAAAATAAAAAGGTTGTGGTCATTGGTAACTTTGATAAGGATGAATTGTCGAGAAAACTTAATAAGAAGATGCAACAAAAGATTAAAAAGGCTGAAAAGGAAAGGCAGGAGTGGGAATCTGAAATGATGTTAAAGGAGGCTGAAGAAGAAAAAAGAGTTGCAGAGATTTATGAAGAAATCGACAAGGATAGAAATGTATATCTCAACCCAATTACTGATTATGAAAAGGAGATGGCTAAACATTATAACATGTTCAGTGATGAAAATCCTAATGCATGTTCTATTTCGTAACATAGTCGAAACAAGTATCCACCATGAAAAATACAGCATGATAATGGACCTTATGCATTTTGAGATGTTTTAATGTTTTATTCACCAAAAATATTATGTAAGTTGGACAAAATAAAAGTATGATTTCATTTTAACCTTTTTAGTATAAAGCTATTGGATTGTGTTTGGTTAAATGGACTCAATGAAGTTGGCAAAGATGTTGGATTGTCTAAGGAGAGGGAAATGCGCGCGGACTCAAGTTGGATTGGACCGATCCGGTGTGAAACATCGGATATCAATCCAACCCGGGAAAGAGGCATATCAACCAAGGAAAATCTTGACCGCGAGAGAAATTCTTGAGGAGCTTGGATCAACTAGTGCAAGAAGCATTGTCACTTCTACAAGATACTTGATCATGGGAGTTCTGACTCTACGTTATACTAAAAAGACCAGAAGGAAAAAATTTCATCAAAAGAGAAGAAAAAGTTAATCGAAGTTGAGCGATAAGTTTATGAAGCTCAGACGGTAATCAAGAAGTTGACATAACAATATCCAAACAGCTCATTTTCAAACCTCTCATCATATAACCTACTAGTGGAGCTATGTCACCATCTCTAAGATGTGCCCAGATCAAACTCATAAAAACTCAATACAAACATTGCTAAAATATGTACTTTTAAACTAGCTCAAAAGCGTTCTTGGGAGGCTCGATCCAAATGTTATTAGAAGAAAGCTGGCTTCCCCAATCAAGATTATGCTCAAGCGGGTGGTATCTCCCTTCATCAAACGAATACGCCACACAACGTTTCTCATTGTAACACAACTTAGGGAAGTACACACTATTCCTTAACATCCCCTCGTTAACATAAGTTCTCGATTCACATGACTTACTACTCACAAAAATACTTAAACTACCGAGTGTATCCTTCTGCTCCCAAATACCTCGAGTAAGATCGAGTTTAAACACCAAAGGATCCTTGTGTTCATATGTACGTATCACAAATATGTCTCCTTTATAACCCACCATGAACTTTCCTTGATTCCAACTCTTCTCATCGAGACATCTAGGTGGCGGTAAATCAAACACATTCCATGTACTTAAAGAGGGATCAAAACCCGCAACGAGGTTTCTTCGATTGAGACAGTAAAACACACCATTTGAGAAAACAACATTATTATGTTCAGTATCAAGGAATTGAGACTCAACCTGCATTGAAGTCCACATCGTTTGACCTGGACTCCAAGTACGAATAGTGACATGGCCAGGATCATAATCCTTGATAATAAACACAACGCAATCGCTTGACGTAGGAGCACACGAGAAACCCACTAACTGATAATAGTTCCACAACTGAAGAAAAGGCAAAACCACAACATCCATAGTAAATGGATTGAACAAGACAAAGTCTGATGAATCTTCCTTACTCATAAGTAACCATCCATCTGTCGAGTAATGAACAATAGAGCCCGCTAACGATTTAGGCAGCTCCATTGTATACTTCTTGCAACCCAACGGATCGTAAAACTCGCAAGTGTTCTTGGTTTCAGGGAAGTACATGAGCCAAGGAGGTTGCTCTATGACCCTAACCGAAACAGCGGCTTCATACCATGATTTGCATACAACAGAAGCTCTTACGTTATCTTTGATTTCAAGAAAATCCATTACTGAACTCAGAAGCTCTAAAGGAAGATCCTTCCACATGTTCTTGGACGACCCTTCATTGTTTTCAACGCTCATGATAGATCTGAGAATGGTTCATAAACAAGATTAAAAATTGAATAATCAGATAATGAAAAGACTAAAACTTTGATTGATTTTGGTTCATATAAACCTCAATGAATTCAAGAAACGAGATTTGGGCATCAATTACGAAACTTGGTTTTCCAAATTTCCACAGATGATTCACAGATTGGTACATAAAGGTTTCGTTTTTATCACAGATCAAATAGAAGATAATCGAAAAAGCCAAAATTTAAAGCCAGAAGATCAAGAATAGAGGGAAAGAACACTTACGATTTCAACTTTACTGTTCTTCTGCTTCCAGTTGTGTTTGGTGTGAGAGTGAGACACGATAAGTTCTTACTATCTTACTTACACATATCCACTCATAATAGACAAAAAAAAAAGTTTTAATATGTAAATTAGATTATAGTTAGGGTAAATTAGCTGTATAACCAAAATGACAAAAGAAATTAAGAATATAGCACGTTGAAGTGAGAAACAAAATAAGTAACCATTTCATTTTGGTTAGGACGAAAATGTCCTTATTTGGTGTGAAAAACTGCCACGAGAGAGACTATGAGCCACGTAGGGTGTTTCTTCTATTTTATTGGATAAATTATTTACTTACTTCCCTTCAGTTTTGTTTTGCTGTAATTTCATAAAACAAATTGATTCAAACTCCATATTATATTTAAAGAAACATAAAAAAAAATTCTCAATGTAATGTGTTTTGAATTTTTTAAAATGGATATTAATGTTTTACAATATAAAAATGTGGTTATAAATCAAACGTTTCATTCTATGCAAAACACACAAAAAAATACAGTATAGAACATAAAACATTCTATATAAACATATTAAAAATCAAAAACAAATTTAAAAATAAAATATAACAATTGAAGGAAAAAAATTCAAACTTATGAATAAACTCAAAATCCAAAATTTATGTTTTTTACATTTTATCTTTTTAAAAAATAAGTATATCAACCTTTTGAGAAATATATGTTGAATACACGCCGAAAAAAAACTATACCCTAAGAGATACTATATAGGAAACCCAAAAGATAAATTTAAATGCAAGTCAAAAATAATAGTATAGTATCAATTTAAACAGTATATATAGTTCTTGATCATCTTAATTACATATTTGTTTAGCGTTAAATTTGTTAGTTGTAAGAAACATCTTATACAGTATCAATAACACATGCGCAGACTTGATAAATAGAATAGAAACATCTTATACTATATCAATAACATATGCATAGACTTGATAAATAGAATAGAATGAGAGAAAGGATAAGGATAGATGTGAATGTGATGGATTCAAGAAAATTTAAACAGAATATGATAAATTAGATTGAGAGGATGTGTGAGTCCAGGAAGGAGAAGAAAAAACATAATTGAGTCTCAACTCTTGGGAAGTTTCCCACTTGAATCTTGGTGAAAAAAAACTATATAGTGTAGACTTTAATTAAATAGAATAGTAATAGATTTAAGTTTTCTAACAATGGTTTAAGTTCTACGTTGAGATTCGTAAAGAGTTTGCCAAAATTGATGGTGAAAGAAATGGAATCGTCACCCGAATCATAAACATCTCTATATTTAAAAAATTTCAATGAATCAAAGGTATAATTAAAAAATAAACGAATTAGATTTGAAGGCATATGGTTCACCAAAGCAAGAAAAAAAATATTTGAGTTGCACAGACTAATAAGAAAGAGAGAAAAAAAAAAAGAGAAGACAGTGAAAAAGATAGGTGAACCATGAACCAAAGGGTGAAGGGTATTTTAGGATATATTGTAAGTAATATACAGAATATCAGCTTTTTTTTTGTCTTAGGTTAATTACTTAATTAAAGTTTTTTTTGTTGGTTATACACTCCAATTTCTCTTATAGTTATAACTTATAAGTACTACCATCTTTTTTGTTCTGATTCTTGATTCGGTTTAAAAACACAAACCGATAATCCCCAAATAACATAATTACTAAACTGGTCTCAGCATTCTTCACTCTCTCTCTCACAGTCTCAGTGGTTCGTTTAGGGTTTTGTTGAATTTTACGGAGCGATTAGATTCCGAATCAGAGAGATTGAGAAGAAACCAAATCGAGAAGAAACCAAATCGAGAAGATGATGAGATCGTTTGCGATTGCATCTTCAGGGAAGAGATTTGTTCATCGGAGTTTTCTGATGAGAGGTAGTGCTGCTACTGTTTCTCCTTCATTTTCCATTTGCCGGAGACGAGCTTTCTCTGGCAAGAGTCATGATTACAGAGAGATATTGAGAAATGGGCTACAGGATATAAAGTTAGATGGTGCAGTTGGTTTGTTCAGTGTTATGGTACAGTCTCGTCCACGCCCTTCAATCATTGAGTTTAGTAAATTGTTGAGTACCATTGCTAAGATGAAGAAGTTTGATGTTGTCATCTCTCTCGGCGAGCAGATGCAGAAGTTGGGGATTTCACATAATCTCTATACTTACAATATTTTGATTAACTGTTTTTGTCGCCGCTCTCAACTCTCTCTTGCTTTAGCTGTTCTTGGAAAGATGATGAAACTCGGCTATGAGCCCAGCATTGTTACGCTTTCTTCGCTCCTCAATGGGTACTTCCACCTTAAGAGGATTTCCGATGCTGTAGCTTTGTTTGATCAAATGGTCGAAATGGGATATCAACCTAATACCGTCACATTTACAACTTTGATTCATGGTCTTTTTCTCCACAACAAAGCTTCCGAAGCTGTGGCGCTAGTTGATCGGATGGCTGTGAAAGGCTGTCAACCAAATCTGGTTACATATGGTGCTGTAGTAAATGGATTATGTAAGAAAGGTGACATTGATTTGGCTTTGAGTTTGTTGAAGAAGATGGAGAAAGGGAAAATAGAGCCAGATGTTGTAATCTACAACATAGTCATCGATGGTCTCTGCAAATACAAACATGTGGATGATGCACTCAACCTATTCACTGAAATAGAGATCAAAGGAGTTAGACCAAATGTTGTTACCTACAACGCCCTCATTAGTTGCCTTTGTAATTACGGAAGATGGAGTGATGCCTCTCGACTCCTAAGTGATATGATTGAGAAGAAAATCAACCCCGATGTAGTAACCTTCAGCGCATTGATCGATGCGTTTGTGAAGGAGGGGAAGCTTTTAGAGGCTGAGAAATTGTTCGATGAGATGATCCAAAGGTCTATAGCTCCTGATATTATCACGTACAATTCATTGATCAACGGGTTTTGTATGCACCATCGTCTGGACGAGGCCAAGCAGATGTTTGAATTCATGGTTAGCAAGGATTGTTTTCCAGATGTAGTGACTTATAAAGGGATTTTGCAAGTGTAAAAGGGTAGATGAAGGTATGGAGCTCTTCCGGGAGATGTCTCGAAATGGATTGGTTGGAAACACAGTCACTTACAACACTCTTATCCAAGGGTTATTTCAAGCTGGAGATTGTGATATGGCTCAAGAAACTTTTAGTCAAATGGATTCTTTTGGTGTCTCTTCTGATCTTTGGACTTATAACATTTTGTTAGATGGACTTTGTAATAACGGGAGGCTAGAGAAAGCATTGGTGGTATTTGAGTGTTTGCAGAAGAGTGAAATGGAACTTAACATATTCACATATAATATTATGATTGAAGGAATGTGCAAGGCTGGGAAGGTGGAAGATGGGTGGGGTTTATTTTGTAGCCTCAGAATTAAGGGAGTGAAGCCTAATGTTGTAACATATACTACAATGATCTCAGGCTTGTGTAGTAAACGCCTACTACAGGAAGCGGATGCCTTGCTCAAAAAAATGAAAGAAGATGGACCTCTTCCAGATAGTGGTACTTATAATACGCTTATTAGGGCGCATCTTAGAGATGGTGACAAAGCAGCATCATCTGAACTCATCAGAGAAATGAGGAGTTGCGAGTTTGCTGGAGATGCTTCAACCATTGCCTTGGTCACTAATATGTTGCATGATGGGAGATTGGACAAAAGCTTTTTAGAAATGATTTCTTAAGACATCCGTGAGGTTAATAAGCCGTTTATGTTGCTTTTCTGGTAATTACTTTCTAATGCAGTCCTTATATGATCATGAATATGTTTGATTAGCTTCATGTGATTAGCTTTTAAATTGATGGTTTCTACTGCAGAAGAAAATATTATCTGAAAAGCAGAAAATTCACTTTGAATATGACAAAGTCCGATCAAGTAAAGCAGAATCCGTTGTTGGTTTTTCTTCTTGTGTTACAGTGATGTTCCCAAGGCGCAAATCATTCTCACAGTTGAGAACAACTCATTTGTTATTTTATTGTTGTGGATTCCATTAAACACGAAAATGCCTAGGCAAGGTGAGTTCTTGGCCTTTTTACAACTAGCTCTGTGAATAATTGCTAAGAGGAAGTGACGTCTGGACCAGCATTAGAACTCGCAGGGCTTTGCGCATGAAGGCAAGGTCAGAGTAGAGACAGAATTCGACCTCTACGTGTGGAGATTCTCCGGCAACCCGAAATTGAGGCTTCAGCTATGAATAGAGACTCTTGAATACAAGAGAACCGTATCTCATCAGATCCTGTAATGGTGATGAGAGGGCCAGATTTGTCCAATCTTCGTTCCACGAAGAGCATAATTCTCCAATACCGATGGAGCAACTCCTCGAAGCTCGGTGATTTTACTTGGTTATGAGCCCAGCATTGTCACGCTTTCCTGGCTGCTCAATGGTAGGCTTACACATCTTTTCTAGTTCTGAAAGACACTTGTTAGGGAGAATTTACACAGAGGTTAATCAGTTTTAAGTGTTTACTGGTGTAATTTTGCTTTTGAGCTTTCTGAATCTCGTGTAAAGATATCTGAATATCTGGACATAATAACGGGAAAAAATAACTGGATTTGTGTATGAATTTTCTTATAAACTACAAAAGCTTTTCACTTGTGCGGCATCTTTGTCGCGTATGGTTACACAACATTTTCATGTAGTATACAGTTGGTGGTCTTACAGCCTTAGAGACAACCATGGATGATCTGAAAGCAACGCGGCATGATTTGTATTGTCAACAAGGGTGAAAGCTTTAGACGGAATGATTGTAACGTTATTACTTCTTTATTTTCTTCAATCTTAAAGAGTTGCTGTTTCTGCAGCATTACACAAGACAGTGAGAAAGAGGGAGAGAAGAAAAGAAAATTCACGAATATGGAGGGGACAAAGTTAGACCTCAATGGATGGATGTACGAAACGGGCTTTAGTAGCTTCGTCCTCCCATTCTCTATTTGCCTCTGCATCGATGGCAAGTCTCTTTTCACCACTTGGACCGCTTTTAGAATTGAGTGGAAGCTTTCTCAGCTTTGGGCAGCTTATTACTCTGATTTTGGTAAGACAGGGAAATGGCAGAGGTCTCAAATAGATGTTCTTCAGCTCCGGTAGATTATCCAACTGCAAAAAATTTCTAGTCTTTGAAAAGGAATAATCCCTGATTCTTCACATACACAAGCTTTCTCTTTGTTTATTATGTCTTCTACTTCATCTGCTTTGTGAACAACATGTTTTCTAAGATTTGGAGCGAACATCAATTCTTTACAGCAGCAATAACTAGACCATAGAACAATCGTAGCGAGGCTTAAGAAGCATGCATTTGTCGGGTTGAGCAGAGGAGAAACCGTCTCGCTTCTAATGCTTGTAATATCCATCTTTATCTCAGAAATAGTACATGAACGAAAAGAAAGTTCACGAACTTCATCAGCTTGTGAGAGCTTAAAACTTGATCCAAACCTGAATCATTACCGATTCCTATGGTTAGAATTTCTAAATGTTCCAAGACTAGCAACTCCTCCACTGTGTTGGGATTGACTCTAACTCCTGAACCTTTTAATTAAATACTTTCAAATTTAGTAGTGAAGAAATCCCAACAATACTCGAAAGCTTCTTCGTCCACTCCAAATCCAAGTGAATTAGCTTTTTCAACTCTTGTAAACCAAAAGGTAGACATTGTATACGTGTGTTCTCAAATTTCCAATAGGCTGCGTTAAAGATTGCATTTATTTAAGGAGTTGTAAATTAAATCCTGGAAAAACGGTCTATTTCCCCCATGAGAAGTATGCTTATCACGCCAAATGAAGATTGCATTCATTCCATTTTTGTGATCCACCGGAAACGAAGCGGATCTCGCGGCGGAGGCGATAACGTCTTGAATCGTGAGACGAGTTAGGTGTTGGCCGTGGGAGTATTTCGAATCGGAGTATTCACCGGCGATTAAAACGGATCTAGATACGTTACCTCCGGTTTGATCTGCGTAAAGAGAAGCGGTGCGCCACCATTCAGTGACGGAGGGAGAAGGAGCTTTAGCGTCGGAGATTGAATTGAGGAAATCTCTGATTAGGGATTTGTGTGGACGAGACCAACGTCCGTACCAGATATCTGGTAGATGTTGATCGGAGAAGAAGAGAGGACTGGTCCCATATGGTAACAGAGGTGGTTTAATTATCGGTTAGATGGTTTAATTATCGGTTAAGTATACAGTAAACCCATTAAACCCAGCACGATGGTTAAGTATACAGTAAACCCATTAAACCCAGTACGATGGGTTATAGATCTCGAACTTTCAGATTCGGAGAAATTAAGCTATTGAACTTCCATTTCGTGGGGAAATAAGTATTTAACTTTCGTTTCATGGACATATAGACCGAGGTCAAAGAATGGGCTCTATCTGGCGTGATAAGCATACTTCTCATGGGGAAATAGACCGTTTTTACTTAAAATCCTAAATAGACTTAACTTTTATTTTTAGGTCTTTGCAATTTTCCCGCATTATCTATACTATTAATTGGGAATCACTAAATAAAAAACAATCTTTAAGTTGTAGATTATTACATAGAATGCCATTAATTTTTATAAATTTGAAGAAATAAAAAAAAAAAATTTTAAATAATCAAAAATAAATCAATAAAATAATAACTGCCCAATATGTTTGGAAATAGTTTAAAAGATGAGAAATTGTTAAAAATGCCTCTTTTTCAATACCCCTTTTCAAAAATGCTCCCTTTGAGAGTCCATTTTTAAGTTTGCCCTCTTTTAATTTTTAATGACCATTTTACCCTTATTTGAAACAAAATTAGGTCCACAAAATACAAAATATTTTTTTGGCGGGAAAAGTTATCCCGCAAATTTTTGGCGGGAAACGTGATCCCGCAATTTTCCCGCAAAAATTTTTTTTATTCGGAAAAAGTGATTCCGCAATTTACAAGGTATTTTAAAGGTTTTCCAGAGTATTTACAAGTGTTTTGTAAGGTTTTACAATGTATCTTAAAAAGTTTTACAAGGTACTTATAAGGTTTTATAAGGTATTTATAACTTGTAAAACCTTATAAAAAACTGTAAAACCTTATAAAATAGCTTGTAAAATCTTATAATATCTTATAAATACCTTATAAATACGTTGTAAAACCTTTTAAAATACATTGTAAAACCTTATAAATACCTTGTAAAAAACCTTTAAAATACCTTGTAAATTTTTCCCCCCAAAAAAATTGCGGAATCACTTTTCCCGCGGGAAAATTTTTTGGCGGAAAAATTTGACAAGGTATTTTAAAGGTTTTACAAGTTTTTACAAAATCAAATTTGTAATTTTGATGTGTGCACATTCTCATGTTTTCCTTATATATTTGTGATATCTTTTATTAAAAGAAGGGTAATTTAGTCATTTTGTACAAAAAAATCGGTATTTTTAAAAATGGACAGCCAAAGGGGGCATTTTTAAAAAGAGTATTGAAAAAGAGGCATTTTTGTGAGTCTCCCTTAAAAGATTCCATAATAAATCAAGTTATTTGCTGTCAAAAAATTATAAAAAATAAATCAAGTTATTAATTCGAAATTGTATAAATATAAACTTATTTATTTTGGTAATATATTATTAGATATTTCCGGCAATCTAATTTATTGTAAAAAATTATCATTTAATTTAGATTTTTTGAAAAAAAAAAAAAAAAAAAAAAAAAAAATTAGATTTTAATACATTTCCTTAACAAAACTATGCTAATTAATTCTGATTAGTAGTACACATGAAAAAAAGATTTTAATATTTTATTTTCCAAATTTGAAAAAATATATTGTATATTTTTCATATATAATCTAAACTAAATAGTTTCATCCTTTAAAATATAACCTATTCAACAAATAATTTTGGATTTTAGGTTCTAAATATCTAGATAATATTTTCAGTATAGATTAATTTTACATTTTAATTAGAATTTAAATAATATAAATTTTGAAATATATTTATTAGAAACGGGTAGACATTTGCTTAGAAACGGGTAGACATTTAGAAACGGGTAGTGTTCATTATTTTAAATATATATCATTAAAATTAATTTGAATTACATAAAAATATATATTTTAAAACATATTATAATATTTACTATATCTCCAAATTATTTTATTTAGAGCCAAAAAAATTAATATATCAAATCAAGTAAATTATTTTATTTCGTCTCAAATTGTTAGAAGCTTATATTCTTCTGAATTCGATTATTTTATTTTTTCAAAAAACATTAAAATATAATTTAAATACCAATGTTTAAATTTTCAAAGCAAATACTTCAAAATGAGAAAATATTCATTCACACCAATATTCTTATTTTTCTATTAAACTTTAATAGTTTCTTTTCTGGAACAAACATTAATAGAATTTTGTTAACAGCTCATTACTTGTATTTGAACAATCATAATCACCATATTTGCGATAATGCATAAGGATCATAGGAAATTTTAGTTTTTTAAAATCCTAAATTCATTAATATCATACATAAAAAGCTTAAAAAATTCATAAAATAACTAGAAGTTGATTATATATATAAAATATTACAAAAACTAAGAATTTATTAAAGTAGCAAAAAGTTTAAAAAATTCAAGTGATGTTCTTAAAAAAAAAGACATTAATCAACAACCTAAATTCTTCTTAGAAATTTATTTTTATTTTTTGTCATATGATTTATTTATTAATATTGAAATTAAAATAAAAATAATTAAAAAAAGTTGGGCTTACAAGTTTTTTTGGACTTTAACACTTGAAAAATGGAGTCATAAGACTTTTAAGTTATAATTTTTTTTTTTTTTTGGTGCCGGATATCCGTTATCCGGTTTAAATTTTTGGATTATTCGTATAATTTTTGGATTATTCGGATATTTAAAAACGCAGCGTTTGCGGGTGGTAGCGGGAGAACCAATCAAGCCCTTAGTGATACTATCGTGCTTGTGAGTCTTAAGACTCCTTCTACATTCCAATGTGAGGAGAAGTTTTGGATGGCGATGATTTAGTTTGCATTCGCTTTTATTCATCATTGTAACTTGTGACAGACAAGAAATATCCCTAAAAAGGTACTCGAAACGAGAACTTCATTTTGTACTTCCAACGTGATTTGAAGCATGTAACTAGATGTTTTACAAGGTATGATGCACCAAGTTAATGGACAAGCATATCCTTTACATAAACCACCATAATGTCATCCTTTTGATTTTACAATATGTTGTTCATACTTTTTTGGTAAGCGGCTTCGTCATTTTTTTTAAGAACTACAACATCTGGTAGCAGTAAAAACGAAATTCATGATCTCCATATGAATGATAAAGACATGTTTTTTTTTTGTTTTTGTTTTTTGGGGTCTTCAAATCAAGTAGCTATAGTTATATCTTGAACAGACATCAGTGAAACGAAAATAGCTTGTAACCTATGGTGACATGAGCCAACGTTGTGTATGTGGGATACTGAGAACGGGACTATCGCGTAGACATTGTATAAATACGTGAAATCAACATGTAGACCATCATCACATTTCGCTTGTAAGTGGGTATAGAGAACCTTCTTATACCCATACATTAAAATTAACATCCATTATATTGTTATCATCTTTTGTATTAAAAGGGATAAAACAAAATGCAGAGAACAAACCTTGTAATAATATATAAGGCAGAAGTTATATGATCGAGTGTGGAGGGTGGTAGCTCCCGAGAGAGTCCGGGTCTTCATTTGGTTGGTGGTGAATCAAGTCATCATGACAAATGTGGAGAGGAGACGAAGACATTTGAGTGACACAGATTTGTGCTCGGTTTGCAAGCAGGGAGAGGAGTCGATTATTCATGTCCTTAGGGATTGTCCGGCTCAGCGGGGGATATGGACTCGAATTGTCGATGTTAGGAAGATGCGCTTATTTTTTGAGCAGCCCCTACTCGGATGGTTGTATCGTAACTTAGGTGAGGATGCGGATACGAATGGCAGCCCATGGTCAACAATGTTTGCTTTGGGAATTTGGTGGAGTTGGAAGTGGCGTTGCGGGAATGTTTTTGGGACAGATTGGAAGTGTAGAGATAGAGTCCTGTTTCTCAAAGACCGAACTAAAGAGGTGTCTATGGCACATGTGATGCTGCAGGATCCGTCACGACGGGCTGGAAGAGTGGAGAGAATGATCAGCTGGTCACCTCCGGGGGATAGCTCACTACAAGAAAACCTGCGTTTTGCAACTAAACTTTGCGACCAAACTTTGAGTCGCAAAATTGTGTGACTATTTTGTGACTAATGTACGACTTTTTACCGACGAATTCAAACACAGTTGGAACTTAGTCGCTATTCGGCGACTAAAACAAATAGTCGGTAATTAGTCGTTCATTAATGACGGTTGTGCGTCCGATTGCAGACTAATTTGTTTCAGTCGCAAATAAGTCGCATCCGATTGCACATGTGCGACTGATTTGCGACTCAAAATTTGGTCTGAAAATATGGTCGCACTTTAGTTACTCGTTCGTTGCAAACTAGTTTGTAAAAGTTGGCTCTTTTGTTGAACCTATAACACTTTTATTGATGTTTTGCAATTTAGTAAAATATCTATATTACTTGAGTTTTGCAAAGTTTTTCAACCTTAAAATAATATATGTCCTCTATAACACTAATATGAGTGTTTGTGAGTGATATATATCAGCCTTTTGGATCAATATAATAGATAACAGTCGCAAACGTGCCACCATTTTGTAACCAGTGTTCATTTAGCGACTATTTTGCGACTAATATTGCAACTATTGGCCGACCAATATTGCGACTATTTTGGTACTAATTGTGAAATTTCTAAGATTTTTGCTAAGTGTTTGGTCGAACTTAGTAATAAGATTCATGCACACCAAGTGTTCGTTAAAATGTCCTAACCAATGACATCTACAGATCCATTTTAAAACCAAATTCAATTGATGAAAATAGTACAAGACAATCTCATAAATATTACAAGTTTAAGTTGGAGTTGCTTAAAGTCTCATAAACAATATTACATTACAACATTACACAAACTAGAATTCTTATGCAAAGAAGACATAGTACACTATAGCCATGACCAAACCACCACACACAACCATATTTTTGAAGCTTCGTAACTCTTGTACCTCTTTCTCACACAAACTGACGACATCTTTGAGATATACAATCTCTTTCTCACATCTTTGTGCCCTTTCTTTGATAGCTTCAAGCTCATGTAATCCTTTTGCTAAGCTTCCCACATCTCCTTCTATCTTCTCAACCACACTTTCAACCATTTCCATCTCTTCGACCATGGATATGTCGGTCCACTTAAACAAATGATGCTTATTCTGCAACAAAAATACACTCATGAGGACAATTTGCATATGTTCATACAACTTGAGAGCATATCATAACCAAAAAGATCACATTTTTACAACGTACAACAAAACCTAAGCAGCTAGAGAATGTGAAACTAAGATCAACGTATACAAATTACGAAAGGTGAGCGATAAACCAATGTCTCGAAGCAAGATCGAAAGCTAAACGCAAATTCAAATCAAGAGAAGCTTTGTGTACCTTAAGATTCTATAACTTAAGAAAACATTACCTCACCAATGTCTCGAAGCAAGATCGAAAGCTAAACGCAAATTCAAATCAAGAGAAGCTTTGTCTACCTTAAGATTCTATAACTTAAGAAAACATTACCTCCTCTGATCCGTTTGGACAACAATGAAAGAGTCTCCCCGGATTTTTCAAAGTGTTTGAAGTCTTAATCACAGAGAATTGACCACATTTACATTGTCTTGGGATCCCTCTTCCTCTCACAGAGAACCTATCGCTCACACCTTCACCAATCCGCAAGAAATTAAGTATCTATCAAAATCTACATAAAATCAAACCCACACCTTACATTCTCGATTACTGACCTGAAGAAGCTGATGAAGACATCGGGATCAACACTTATGAAGCTCAGCAGAAATTGGGATCTTTAGAACCCTAGCTTTTCCAAAATCCCCAATTTGATTTTGGGATTATGTCGCAGAGTTGAAGAAGAAGAAGACTAAATGAGATGACTAAAAGACGTCGTTTTACCCATTTGTCTTTCCTTTAAAATAAGTCGCAAAACGGTCGCAATTTTGCGACCGTTTTGCGACAAACGTATATTGAAACGTTTATTCTCCACCAATTATCTCTTAGTCGCTAACTAGTCGGTCATTTGCGACTAGCACCTGAAGATTTTGCGACTGTTTTGCGACTAGCACCTGAGATTGCGACTCATATGCGACTATTTGCCAACTCTCGATTTTTGTTTTCTCACTTTTCACATTTTAAATTTGCTTACATATAAAGTTAAACATTTCTACACTTATTTGATATTACTCATCAAGAAAATCTTAACCAAAGTCATAAATACTGATGTTTAGAAACAAAATATCAAAAACAAACAAATCTCTTTATGATATTACATTACTCATATGAGTATGTTTAGGGATTTAGTAAAAACTCTACATTACTTGAGTTTTGCAAAGTTTTGTAACCTTAAACAAATATATGTCCTCTATAACCCTAATATGAGTGTTATAGAGTGATATATGTCACCATTTTGGATCGAAATGTGTAGATTTCAAAATTTTGCCTTGTGACTAATATATCACAGTCACACAACCGTCGCAAATTTGCCACCATTTTGGAACGATTTGCCTGTTGGCGACTATTTTGCGACTATTTTTGCAACTATTTACCGACCATAGTTGCGACTATTTTGGTACTAAATGTGAAATTACTTGAGTTTTGCAAAGTTTTGTAACCTTAAACTAATATATGTCCTCTATAACCCTAATATGAGTGTTATAGAGTGACATATATAACCATTTTGGATCGAAATGTGTATACCTCTCCTTCTGCGTTGTGACTATAGATTACAGTCACAATCTGGTCGCAAAGTTGCCACTATGTTGGAACTGTTTACCATTAAGCGACTATATTGTGACTATTTTTGCAACTATTTGCCGACCATTATTGCGACTAATTAGGTACTAAATGTGAAATTTCTAAGATGTGTTTTAATATAAGTTATTTTTATTATGATGAATGAATTTTAATATAAGTTATTTTTATTTGTTTAATAAAAGTTTAAAGATGTGTTTTGTAAGATATTCAAGCATGTGTGTTTTATTAAAAAAAAAAAACAAACAAAAAATCAAAACATAGTCTCAGATTATATATATAAATATTTTTAGCATATTACCGATTAAGTATACTGGCAATTTGGTAACATACTTTCCTTAGGACTTATAGGACACCGGATCGAATCTACCCGACTTTTTTTCGTACATTTTAAAATAAGTCGCAAAACGGTCGCAATTTTGCGACCGTTTTGCGACAAACGTATATTGAAACGTTTATTCTCCACCAATTATCTCTTAGTCGCTAACTAGTCGGTCATTTGCGACTAGCACCTGAAGATTTTGCGACTGTTTTGCGACTAGCACCTGAGATTGCGACTCATATGCGACTATTTGCCAACTCTCGATTTTTGTTTTCTCACTTTTCACATTTTAAATTTACTTACATATAAAGTTAAACATTTCTACACTTATTTGATATTACTCGTCAAGAAAATCTTAACCAAAGTCATAAATACTGATGTTTAGAAACAAAATATCAAAAACAAACAAATCTCTTTATGATATTACATTACTCATATGAGTAATGTTTAGGGATTTAGTAAAAACTCTACATTACTTGAGTTTTGCAAAGTTTTGTAACCTTAAACAAATATATGTCCTCTATAACCCTAATATGAGTGTTATAGAGTGATATATGTCACCATTTTGGATCGAAATGTGTAGATTTCAAAATTTTGCCTTGTGACTAATATATCACAGTCACACAACCGTCGCAAATTTGCCACCATTTTGGAACGATTTGCCTGTTGGCAACTATTGTGCGACTATTTTTGCAACTATTTACCCACCATAGTTGCGACTATTTTGGTACTAAGTATGAAATTACTTGAGTTTTGCAAAGTTTTGTAACCTTAAACTAATATATGTCCTCTATAACCCTAATATGAGTGTTATAGAGTGACATATATAACCATTTTGGATTGAAATGTGTATACCTCTCCTTTTGCGTTGTGAATATAGATTACAGTCACAATCTGGTCGCAAAGTTGCCACTATGTTGGAACTGTTTACCATTAAGCGACTATATTGTGACCATGTTTGCAACTATTTGCCGACCATTATTGCGACAATTTAGGTACTAAATGTGAAATTTCTAAGATTTTCGCTAAGTGTTTTGGCGGTTTAGATTCCCCCCAATTTTTTTACTTTGGTACCATTTTGCGACTAAAGAGCGACTGGTACTCTTAATTAATTAGGTAAAACTTAAACGAACCCTCATTTCCACCACAATCCCCAAATCGATTTAGGGTTTCTCTCTCAATCTCTCAATCATCCCCTCTCTCTCTCAATCTCTCAATCATCCCCTCTCTCTCTCAATCGATTCTCACACAAATCTCTCTCAGTTTTTCCCGATTCTCTCTCAAATCTCTTCCAATCCTCTCGAATCCTCTCTAAAAGATCTCGAATCTCAACATCTCAAATCTCAAATCTTCTTATGCCGCCTAAAGGTAAATCCTCTCGAGGTCGCGGAGGTGGCGCTACCACCAGAAGAGTGGCCGCCGGAGGTGGCCAAACCAGCAGACAAGAAGCCGCCGGAGGTGGCGAAACCAGCAGACAAGAAGCCGCCGGAGGTGGCGTAACCACCAGACGAGTAGCCGCCGGAGGTGGCCAGGCGCTACCACAAGAAGCTGTAGGAGGAGGCGAGACCAGCAGACCAGTGAGACCAGGAGGTCGAGTCCGAACCTTCGTTGGTCACAGACCACCAGTCACTGCGAGTGGAGTCGGAACATCTTCAAACGCGTTGAACCCATCCTCGGCAAGTCAGTCTGCGACCCAATCTCAAGTGAGTCGTCCTTCACTTAATTCTAGTAGACAGAATCCTCCTCCTAGGCAGACTCCTCCTCTTAATAGACAGACTCCTCCTCCTCAGCCGCAGCATCAGCCACCGTCTCCTCAAACCCAGCCTCTACCGGAACATGACGACTTTGGACTGAGATGCAGAACTTTTGGAAGACCGCTGATGCTATAGAGAGGAGTGAGAATGCTTCACAATGCAGAAATTCTGATCGTGGCAGACTTGGAGTGCACAAACACTTAGCCGGTCAGAAATCATTTATTCAAGTTCATCAAGAAATGGTAAGTTGTTTCAATCGCTCCAAATACTTTACTTTTACATAATTTCTATCATTTCTACACATGATATTCATTTTGTCTTTCATTTCAGGAGGAAGAGTTGGGGCGTCCAATTTCATTAGGTGAAGTGTTTATGAGAACGCATACTAGAGCTGATGGCTCTTTTGTTGATCAAAAGTCTGAACAAGTGGCTGAGGCATATAAGAAGACAGTTGAAGAGAGATTGGCTGAAGTGGAAGAGGAGGTTCAGGATGCTTCAGAGATTTCCTCTGAACATTCAATGCATCCTAGAGAACTCAGCATTGATGAAATGAATGATATCTTCCTTAAGGTAAGTCATTTCTGTCTTTAGTTTGCTTGGATTATATGATTGTATTTGTTTGCTTGGAGTATGATAGTCTTGTCTGCTGAGTATTGTTACTTTAATATCAATGATGATTCTTATTTATCTTTGTCTGATTTGCTTTGTGGATTGTCTTTGTCAGACTTCTTTGCTACATTCTGGATTTCGTTTGTTTTTTTTCATTTTGCCTATGATCCTTCTTGTCTGATTTCACTGAATGTTTGTCTTTTTTTGCAGTGTACTCATATAGATGACCAAGGCAACCCTTATGGCCTTGGATCACTGGTGGAGACCCTACACAAGGGAAAAAGGAAGGAGAGTTACGCAAGCTCTTCTTCTACAGTGACAGTTGTTGAGCTTCAAGAGCAGCTGCGGCGCAAGATCTCTGATCAGGATGCTGAGAATGCAAGACGTGATGAGGAGCACCGGAAGTCTCAAGCTCGGATCGCAAGCTTGGAGAAGCTCATCCTTTTCATGAAAGACAAAGATCCAGACTTGGCAGCTTTTATGTCAACCTCTCCACTCCTTGAACCAGAAGTGATCATACCACCCACCACTACAACAAACACCCTTCCAGCCACCACAGGAGCTGCAGTCCAACCAGCAGGACACACCACTGGAACCACACCGACCTCTCCTCTATCCACCGCCTCAAATGAGGAAACTTGATTTTAGTTTCCTTTTCTGTGTATGTGAACTTGATTAGGATTGTTTTTGAATGGTTTGGAATGGTACTTGAATCATATTCGGATGGTTTTTGAATGCATTTGCTTTTGAAATGGACAGGTTTTGGACTAATAAGATGTAACTATTTTGTGACCAAAAAGTTTCAGAAATTCGGACTAATTTGTGACCAGAACAATTAACAAATGTGACCAAACTGTGACTAAACAAATTTACAAATAACTCTAAATCTCGTATCAAAATGGTTACTAATAAAGGACTACTTTCTCACCATAATAAATGAGTCCTAAAATAGTCGCACCATATGCAACTCTTTTGCGACTAAACTGTTACTAAAACATACACAACTTGCGACTAATGTGTGACTAAGAATTTGATCCAAGAACTCTAAACGGTCGCAAACAAGGCGCAAATTGATCCAAATATGTAAGGTTATTACAGTCGCAAATGAGTCGCGAACGTCCGTTCGTTGCTCTTTGGTCGCATATTTGCAACGATATTTACCAGTCACAACGTAGTCGGTCATTTGCGACGATAAATTTATAGTCGCCACATAGTCGCAAATTAGCGACTATAGTGATACACGGAAATTTTGCGACCAATGGAAATAGTCGCTATTCAGTTGCAAAACCCTCTTTTGCGACCGTTTAGCGACTAATTTCACAGTCGCAAATGAAGTGTTTTCTTGTAGTGGCTGGATCAAGTTGAATACGGATGGTGCCTCCCGCGGTAACCCGGGTTTGGCAACAGCGGGAGGAGTTCCGCGTGACGGGGACGGGATTTGGCGCGTTGGCTTTGCTCTAAATATAGGTGTATGCTCTGCCCCATTGGCGGAGCTATGGGGTGTTTATTATGGACTATATATAGCTTGGGAGAAGCGGATTACACGGCTAGAGTTGGAGGTGGACTCGGAGATTGTTGTGGGGTTTCTTAAGACAGGGATTGATGATTCTCATCCCTTGTCCTTCCTAGTACGTTTGTGCTATAGCTTCTTGTCGCGTGACTGGATAGTTCGCGTATCTCATGTGTATAGGGAGGCTAACCGTCTTGCGGACGGTTTCGCAAACTATGCGTTTTCCTTACCGTTAGGTTTTCATTTGCTTGAGTCTAAACCGGATGTGGTTGACTCCATTGTTTTTGACGATGCGATCGGGTCTGCGTACCCACGTTATGTTCGTTTGTAATTTTCTTTAATTTTTCTTAATAAATTGTGGGGGACTTAGTCCCCCCATCCTACCAAAAAAAAATATATAAGGCAAATAATTTTCAAAGATTTATTTCTTTTTTAATATATTAAAAATAATATTATTATTTTACCATCTTAAATGTTCAAATATCATAATTAGTCCATATTCAATGGCAGCTATTTTATAGTAGGACAATTATATTTTTTGACAACTAAAAGAAATATCCTTCCTTATACAGCTATTTTGAAGCCCTAAAAATTTGAAAACCTTTTCACTTTTTTTTTTCTCCCTCTTCTTCACCAATTATCCCGAAGATGTATGCATGCGATTCAAATCGAAGCCTCCGCCAGAGGAATCTCTCACTTGTGGCACGTGCGTTACGCCTTGCACGTGTCCTGTCTTTCGTGACCTCCCGAAACCTAGCATCTAGCTACTTTACAGTTGCTAGTCCTAATTGCTCTGGGTATGGATCTGTTGGTTCAGATCTTGTAGCGGCGATCCACACAATTGAGGCGGATGGAACTGTGTCTGCTGAACAGAAGGCTAAGAAGAGGCAACAGTTGATATGATAATGGGAAGCAGCATAATATGTGGTCATTGAATCAAGCTTATCTGATCAACCACGGCGAATTTATGCATGAAACCAGTTGGAGAATGTGCTCAGCTCAATTACGAAACTCCTCGAAGAAGAATCAGATCAATCGGAGTTCAGATGAAGGAGTTATGGAATTTACAAAATCAGTGATCTCCAGCTTACGCGAATTCAGACATACGCCCATTCAAAGAAGGATTCCGACAAGACCAGATTGAATTAAGCTACAAACCAAATTGTTCTGGAATCTTGGTCAATCAGAGAAGCCCATCAAAGTGGATTCAGCCCAAAAACAAGAAGAAAAGAGAGATTTTCGTCCATCCTCAAAACAACATTTATTTAAGTGTTTTTCTCTCTCTTACATGCACTTTAGAGTTTGAATTTCTATTTCCAAGTTGTGCTGCATGTTATGGACGAAATTGTTGTATCTCCTCTATATAATGAGGCTTAATTCATGAATAAAAGTAAGTTTTGTTGTTGAGTAAAAATCAGAGAAGTTTCTCTCTTTCAAGATGTGATATCTTGTAATTTTTGGAACTCCATGTTCATGGTGTGTCATATCTATGTTCATGGCTTGTTCAGACTTATCATAGATCCTTTCACAGATCTTTGTGGCGTCTCTCGATCCATCTCTCTATCCATTCCTTGTTGGTGCGTCATATCCAGCAAGTTATCGATCTCCTTTGGTGTGTAATATCCAAAGAATCGATCCACCGGTAAATCAGGAGTCTTCCGCAGCTCTTGTGCGACCATTCGCTCCACAACCTTTGATCCTTTAGAGTTCACAGTCTCTTGGATGCAAAGTTATCCCTTTCACCACCTTAGAGTGCATAATCCTTGGGAGGATCGTATCATTTAAATTTTTTTTTTTAAGAAAACTCTCATTTTATTTCATAAAACTTGTTAAAGATACATAGCTGAGAAGAGACTTTATATAATAGTCCAGCAGCTGGGGACCTTCTAGGGTCGAAATTATTACATAATAAAAGGACTAAACTTGCAAATAAAAAGGACTAAATTCGCAAAACAACAGACTCGAATTTAGGACCTAAGACAAATAAAAGACTCAATAAAAACCCAACGGTCTTATTCCTGCAAAACAAGAGAAGAACGATTTATTATTTGAATTCAAACACTTACCTCGGAAATATTGCTCATGCATGCTCCAGCCCTTCATTGAATGATTTTGGAAATGATGAAGAGAGCGGGTTCCTTTATTCCTTGTAAAACCGGTAGAAATGAAGCTGTTTGAGTCTTGAGTTGGACGCAAGCTTTATCTTTGATGATCTCGGTTTCCTGGAATGTTCCTTGCTCAAAATAGTTGTTGTCTTGTTCATTCTCCAAGTCTTGACCTTTTGAAACGTTTGGATTGATTTGAGGCTCAATGGGTGTCTCTCGGATAATATCCTTAGTGAATGACCTTCCTTCGAGTTCCTCTTGCTCTATGAGTGTAATCAAGCTTTCAATGGACTTGTTGAATTGTTCCCTTAAGCGTTTGGTTCCTGATCTTGTCCTTGGTGCTTGAACCATGGTTGTTATGTTGCTGGATCCTTCCTCGGAGTTAGTTTGGATAGTCTCGATGTCCTCATCATTCCCTCCCTCTTGAGAAAGTTCTGACTCCAGAACTGTTTCATCTGCATGGAATGGAGATAAATCAGCAACATTAAAGGTAGGAGAAATGTTTAACTCACCTGGAAGTTCAATCTTGTAGGCATTGTCATTAATCTTTTCTAAGACCCGAAAGGGTCCATCTCCTCTTGGTGAAAGTTTGGACTTCCTCTCCTTTGGAAATCTTTCTTTTCTCATGTGTAACCAGACCCAATCTCCAGGTTCAAATGTCAGCTTCTTTCGGTGCTTGTCAGCATGCTCCTTGTTCTTTTCACTTTTCCTTTCAAGATTTTCTTTAACCCTTTGATGAAGCTTCTTAACAAAATCTGCCTTAGTAACTCCTTCTGCACTAGAATAAACAGGTTGGGGCAGAGGTGTAATATCCAACGGGGTTAGAGGATTAAAACCATAGACAATTTCAAATGGAGATAGTTTGGTTCCGGAATGCTTAGCATGATTATAAGCAAATTCAATGTAAGGCAAACAAGATAACCAGTTTTGAAGATTCTTACCCACCGTAGCTCTCAATAGGGTAGAGAGAGTACGATTAACTACCTCAGTTTGGCCATCTGTTTGAGGATGACAAGTGGTGGAGAAGAGCAGCTTGGTTCCGAGCTTTTTCCACAAAGTCTTCCAGAAGTAGCTTAGAAATTTTGTATCCCGGTCTGAAACAATGGTTCTTGGTACTCCATGTAAACGCACAACTTCTTTGAAGAAGAGATCAGCTGTTTGAGTAGCGTCATTTGTCTTGTTGCAGGGGATGAAATGAGCCATTTTGGAGAAACGATCCACCACAACAAAAATGGAGTCGTTATTGTTGACCTTGGGCAGCCCTAGAACAAAATCCATAGAAATATCTACCCATGGTAGGTTAGGAAGAGGCAAAGGCATGTATAAACCATAAGGATGTGACCTGGATTTTGCTTTCAAGCAGGTGATGCACTTTGAACAGAACCTTTCCACATCTCTTCTCAAATGTGGCCAAAAGAAATGCTCCATGAGGACACTTAGAGTCTTGTCACGTCCAAAATGTCCCATAAGTCCACCTCCATGTGCTTCTCTTATCAGCAACTCTTTCATGGATCCTTGGGGAATGCACAATCTTTTGTCTTTAAAGAGAAATCCATCATGTTGGTAGAATGACCCATAAGCAGCTTTGCTTGTTTCCTTGAAGGCTTCTTTAAAATCTGGATCTTCTTCATATAGACCTTTGATATGTTCAAATCCCATGACCTTAGCCTCCATGGTGCTTATCAAAGCATGTCTTCTAGATAAAGCATCAGCCACAATATTTTCTTTGCCCTTCTTGTATTTGATCACGTACGGGAAAGTCTCTATAAATTCAAGCCACCTTGCGTGCCTCTTCTTGAGAGTAGTCTGTCCTCTCAGGTGCTTGAGCGTCTCGTGATCTGTATGAATAACAAACTCTTTTGACAGCAAATAATGTTGCCAAGTTTCAAGCGACCTTACCAAAGCATAGAGCTCCTTATCATAGGTAGGATAATTAAGTGCAGCTCCATTAAGCTTCTCACTGAAGTATGCCACTGGTTTTCCTCCTTGAGTTAGGACAGCTCCTAAACCTGTACCAGAAGCATCAC